ATGAGATCATCATGCTCTCCCCTTCCTTTGTCGCCCCTCGCCGACAAGCTGTTTCTAGCTCCCCCTTACTTCGTCGCCCCTCGCCCACAAGCTGTTCTAGCTCCCCCCTTACTTCATCGTCCCTCGCCCACAACCAGTTTGCCTGAGGTAACCTTCTCTCTATAGATCTTGGTCTGAAACCTCATAGGAGTTGACCACGCAATGCTCGTGATGAATTGAACGAACGGTATTTCGCGATACACTGATCTAAGAGCAACATCCCCCACTATGATTATCGGAATTGTCAAAAGAACATCGTTGGTTATTGTCGCGACGTTTTTCGTCACGCGAAAATTCTCGATATAAGTCGTCATTTAGCGGCGACGAGGGAGAACAATGCTCAAACGTCAAAGATGCGAACGATTTCAAGTGTTGCGCTGCGAACCGCCGCCTTTGAGAGAAATCGATGTTGTTTGCGACGCCTCGGCGATACGATCGTTGCGATGGTTGAGTTTGAAAGAGCGATACAGATACGTGTTTAACGAAGTGAATCGCGGTAGTCATTTAAATGACTAATAAAATAAAATTTAAATGACTAATAAAATAAAATTGCGTCGCAATTGCGACGCGAAGAAATTGAAAGCTCTCGTCGAAACGAGCGAGAGTGTACCGCGTGATCTTGTCGTCACATGTGGAACGCGATGCGATGAGTCAATGTCGACTCTGACGATGCGAACCTACACCTTGCTCGCTATCGCGATGTACGCCGAATATACGTTGAGATCTTATCTGACGGACATTTCAACAACTCCGTTGATTTGTGAAACGTTGAGGAATTATATTATCGCTAAAAACGATACTAAGAGAGACTGAGAGAGGAAGAATATGTAGTTGCAAGTTTCGATAATATGTCTTATATTCGCAACGATGTTGCTTTCGCTGTTACTGTGGAACGTGAAAACCAATAATCGTAGATTACCAATCGCGATTACCGACGGATATCGAACCTACGTTGAAAAATTGCACAGAAATATAACCGCGACGTCGAAACGAAAGAAGAAAAATAAAGACGACGAAAACAACAGCGACGATAACGAAAAACCATCTGTATTCAATAATGATGAAAAATACGATTCGAACGAAAAAAACGATAATGATGATTTTGTTATCGACAATGATGACGATAACGATGACGCTTTGTTGATGCCACCTCCGTCGCCACTACCACTATTATCGAGGAAGATCTCGAAATCATCGATTGTTATCAGCGATGTAACCGACGACGAAGAAAACAATACGCGAAAACCACTCGAGTCCGCGAGAGGCAGCGATGATCGGTCAAGAAATGATAACGAGTAGCGGTGTGACGGTGACGACGATTACGCGATTACGTCTGAGAAACAGGATGGCACGTCGTCGTCCGTAGAAACGAGCGACGAATTTGCAACAACGAACGAAGAATTAGAAGCGACGAGGAAAAAGAAGGAAGTTGTGTCTGCGAAGTCATCGGAGGTTATCGTACCGATCGCGTCTCGATCAACGGAAACGGACAGTGACGACGGAAGAGAACGCGTTGCGAACGAAACGAAGGTCGAAGACGATACTACAACCAGATAAAAATTTACGATGAGTACACGTGAAGCTCCCGTGCGAATCGTATCTCCGAATTCTATCTATTCATCACACTTTACTCATGACGCCGAAGATTCCATTATCAGTCGCGACAATTCGTTTCGAATTTTGTGGCGCGTCTTTGCAACGTCACCGTAACCTTGCGTCGACGCGTGACGACGCAACGACGACAGAGCCGCAATTTCGTTTCGCGTGGGATGAAACCATCGCGGCTGCTTGGCTTCGTGTCGTTGAGAACACCGGGACAAGTAGAACGAAACAATCCGTGATAAGAACCTACGGCGCGCAGAAGCGCGACGAATATATCCGATCGATGACGATCGACCTCGGCAAAACGACGACGACGAAAGGAACATCTTCGATAAGACGATAACGATTCGTCCACGAAATACGACTCGTCGGCGAAAAGCTTCAACGTTCTATCGTTGTTGTTCGAATCGACGAGCGAACTTTTCTCTTCGTTGTCACGTTTAACAACGACCACGACGATGTCGCTCCAACGTTCCTCGTCGACGCGAATCCACGGAACATTGATCGCCCACCAACGATGCAAAGTTTTTATCGCTTCGCTCAGAACCGAAGAGACGAGTTCGTAATTTTTCGATTCACCACCGTGACAAAGTCGCACCAGCGTTTCACGAAGAATCGACGCGTTCACGTAGATACGATTCACGGTTGTTCGTTCGAATCGCCACGGATAATATCGTACTTCGTAAGAACAAGAATCCACACGCATGATCGACACCGCGAACGACAATGACGATAAGATCGATAATGTCAATAACAATAATGATAATTTTATCGCGACACACGACATCGTTATCACTGTTAATCGATAGAAACGAGCCATGACGATCGATACCCTTGGACGAATCGATCTTCACGTTGTGGCTGGGGAGCGAAAGAATTCTTTTTAAAGTCATCGGCGTTCCGGCGATACTAGCAACAATGTTGACTGATAACGATGCGAACGACACCACCTCGAGTGGTATGATCGTGGCCGATGATTATTTGGAAGCGTTCGTCGAAAGTAAACTCTACGATTCGCTCAATCGAAACAACGGTTTGTTCAATTTGTCGTTCGACGTTGCCACGGCTGCACAGAGACATCATTTTGTCGTAAAATTTGACGACAGACGGAAACGCGTTCGATTGACGAATGACAATGTCGTGTCGTTACCTATGTGGCGTATATGTAGTTTCGAACGATCGTCTTCTCGATCCCGACAACCGATCGTATCATCGATCGTTGAAACTATCGAGAGATTCGTTCCGACGTTGTCCGGTTTGCGTGCGAACGATCCGTCGTTGAAACGTTCATACGTAGATGGTGTTCTGAAACATTTGAAGAGTGGGAATTGGAAAGCACATTTCTTTATTCTAAATTACATATTCGACGTAAAAATGAACGAATTATTAAACGGGATGCGACGACGCATCGAGGTTCTCATTGACAATCTAACAACGATCGATAATCGTTAAATACATATTCATCGCGAGTGTATAACACCGCATCGTCACCGGTGTACAATCCTTCGATCGTGGGCGCGACTATTCTTCTTCCGTCGATATCGCTGAACGTTACGACGATTTTATCGCATTCGTTGAACGCGTCTCTGGCTCGAATATCGTATTCCATTTCGTCGTTCGATCCGCAAACAACGTAATCGTAATCAACGTTGTCATTACTCGCGAGCGAAGATACGACGCGTCGGTTAACGATAAAAACCTCGCAAAATTTGTTGGGTGCGTAAATAAAACAGTTTTTTGCGGAATTGCAAACTAGCAACGACGACGCGTTCACCGTCGTTGTGGCGGTGACGTCGAATCTTTTGAAAATCACTCTGCTTCTTTGAACATTCGCGAAAACATTGTCGGTCGCGAAGATTGGCAGAATGTATGGTTAAGTAAATATCTATTAGAATCAAGTAAATATTTATTAGAATCAAGTAAATATTTATTAGAATTAAGAAAATGATTTTTTTGATTCAAGTAAATATTTATTAGAATCAAGTAAATATTTATTAGAATCTAGTAAATATTTATTTGAATCAAGTAAATAATTTTCTTTTTCAGTAAATATTTACGGTAGAAATTTGCCAGAGAAACCTACATGTGCAGTATTCAGTAAAGAAGTGCATACTAGTTCGGTAGCAATGCTCGATAAAACTGATAACAATGCAAAACATACAAATTTTAAATGTATTTGTTTTGACTTGTGTTTTTAGATGCAGATGTCCAGCGCATAAAAATCCAGGAGCTACCAATGTACAGAAACATGGGATTGCTCGAAGCACCGCGGCAAATAAACGTTACGGCTAATAAAGAACATGCTTTCGAGGTAAAATTGTGAGAAAAGTTTACACAAAGAAAGAAAAATTATTAAGTCACGTGTATGATAATATGTCGATTACATCGCACACTTTAAAATTATGAAATCGAAGACCTTCTGCGTATTGAGGAGAATTAAGATAAGGATTGTTTTTAAAGTAGCTCTATTCGCTGTCGCATTTTTTAGTTTCTGATAATCTGATAACCTGAATATTGTAATAAACCATATCAGATGCGTGATTTATATAATGCTCTAATAAAACTATTTCTAAAAACATTCACTCATATAAAATAATACGTGTTTTGCAAAAAATATTTTAAGTAATGCCAAAGTGTAAAAAATTAGAAAAAAATGTTAAATATTCCGTAATCGCTTATTTTCTTGTGCTATTTTAAAATATTTAGTAATGTAATAGTAACAATTTTAATTAATATATTATTGTAAGGTGTTTTCACTAAGGAACAGAGTTTTTTAAAAATTGAGATATATTAATTATGCAGATACACTTAATAAACGCGTCTTTTCGGCTCGGTGATCTCCTTCACTCTGCCCGCTCGCTTGCCTACTCGCTCAGGCCTCAAAAACAATAACAGTTCCCCACGCATCGACATCCTTGCACGCTCGTTACATTATTTTTTAAATTATATGTTTTCCTATTTATTTCTTCCAACATTCGGCCGTCCTGACCGAACATTCGCCTCGAATGTTCGCCAGTGTCAATTTTCTCGTCGCTGTCGCCCATGCTATCCGTCATCGCACACCCACGGCCTCATAGAATCCGCGGACGACAAAGTCTGAAGAGGTCCCTCTCGTTCGCCAACTTTACGAACAACGTAACGATTATTTCGTAGGACCTTGATGATCTCGTATGGATCAAGATACCTGTGCGCAAACTTGAGTGCAGGGCCGCGTTGAGTTCGTCAGATTGCGACAATGTCACCGTCTCGATAGCTGAAGGCTCTTTCCCTCTTAGAATCGTAATTCTTTCTAAGTACCTCTAACTCGTAGCTTGTATATTTTTCTTCCGCAGGTGTCGTCTTACCGCTCACGTAGTACACCGGGTGTAACAACTGATCTTCGCTATCTCGTTGCAGGAGAATCGCTCCATAACCGTACATTGATGCATCCGTATGCAGCTCCGTGTCTGCACCCAACCGATATAAGTTTAATACGAGTCGCCCGCTTAACAGAATCTTCAACCGCGTAAACGCATCTTTCCCGACCGCTGCAAAATCAAATTTAACATTCGCTCGCAAAAGATTTGATAACGGTCGTGCAATTATTGAGTATCCTGGAATAAACTTGCGAAAGTATCCCGTTAAACCCAGGAACGCTTGTACCTGTCGTATATTCGTCGGTTTAGGAAAGCGTTTCACTGCTTCCGTCTTGTGCTCTGAAGGTCGGACAAAGCCACCCTCTATCGTGTGTCCAAAAAACTCGACTTTTCTTTGCAGGAAACAACATTTTTCCCAATTAATAATCAGACCGGCGCTGCCAGCCGTTTCAAGCACCTTCTCAAGATTTCTCAGTCCGCTCGCGTCGTCGTCAGAAAGAACAATTAGATCGTCCATATATACTAGTACTATTCTATCTCGAATTAATTCTCGAAAAATCGCGTTTACATATCGCTGAAAGACTGAAGGGGAATTACACAGACCGAAAGGCACTCGCAAAAATTCATACTGTCCATCGGGTACAATAAAAGCTGTATATTTTATACTTGACTCATCCATACGCACGTGGAAAAAGCCATTCTTTAAGTCCAAAGTACTGAAGATTTTGGTATTTTGCAGCTGATCCAATTGATCCTTGATAAGCGGTAGCGGATAACAATCTCTAATTACTTTCTTATTTAATAATCTGTAATCAACGCATAGTCTATGTAGACCGTTCTTTTTCTTTAAGGTGCAAATTCATGAGACGCTCGTTTCAGCGTTGCCCATAGTCACGTGACTTCGAGTTGACGCTAGCGTCAAGAAAAAAAACTGGATTTTTTCAGCTTTAGCGTCAAGTCGTGCGATCTGTGCGATGATCTGTCTGTGCGTGCTATAGTCTATTCGCTATTGGATTTCATGGATTGCATGTCTCATGTGGTCTTTCAACCTTATCAATAAAAATGGAAGAATATGTAAGTAGAATATTAGTTATTTAAGTAATAAAAAGTAATAATTGAATTTATTATCCAATACTATATATATATAAAGAAAATGAAAATAATGAATAAGTAAAGAATTAAAAATGATACTTTTTGAGGTTTGGAAGAATGATTGAAGTAAATATTTTATGTTTGTAAACATATAATAAAAAATATTACATATGATAAAAAAATTATTAATAAATATTTTTCATTTTTAGGATTATGAACTTGTTCAAACATGTGGGATGTGCGAAGAAATAATCAATCAAAAGGATGTTATAACGCATGGTTGTCTAGAAGGATATAGTTCTTATACCGTTGATCCAAACACATTCTATTTTTATCCATTAGCAGGTGTGTATTTTTATCTATCATTCTATTACATTTGTAGAAATATTTTTTTTCTTTTTTTCTTTCACTTAAATTTAAAATATAAAAAGCATTTTTTTTAAATTATTTTTAATTGAGAAAAATAATTTACTTTTACTGTAATTTGTTTTAACTATATTTGTTTGAATGCTTTTTGCGTCATTTTCATTGTGTATTAAAAATATAAGTTTGAATTATCTTCAATGTTTATTGTCTTAGGCTCTGTGTGTGTGTGAGAGTGTGTGTGTGTGTGTGTGTGTGCTGCAATGTTTGTAATTATAATTAATCAAAAACTTTAATATATAATTAATATAACATGATTTTTATCTTTTTTTTATATTTATTGAAAGAAATGTTAATATTTTTTTATATATTTTAGATGATGGTGTAACTATCATAAGACGAAGC